TTCTTACACATTTCAGCAAAGAAATTATCACAGGATAGAAAGGATAAAAGCAAGCATGTATGGAACAGATTCATCAATATTATATGAAGTAATGTTTAGTAATAAATTAAATTATAAATATGGGATATTAAATAGTATTACAAATTTCTTGTAAATAGTAAAAATATCAGTTCTGTCAAAACTGCATCTGCTGAGCTTATCCAAATCATTCTTTTCTAAGATTTTCATTACAACACACTTTCTTGAGTCAAATTTTTGTGCCCTGTAGAATTTTTCAGCAGTTTTAAAAGGAAACAATTAAAAGAAATCAGTAACTTACATGGTAAAGACATCAATAACATCTCCTGCAGCTCTTGTCATCTCAAAGTAGGTTTGCAGAATGTTGACGGTTCCTGAAAGTGCTTCATGTCCACAACCACAGAACAGTGCGACTCCAGCATACAGCAGGATGGTAGCAATCAAAGATGCATAGGGAATACCTCCCAGGCATTTGATACAACACTCAAAGCACCCTACAAGAAAAGAAAGTTGTGTGTTAATATTTTATATCAAGAAAGCAAAAAGAAAGCTTTTACTCTTGAGAAACACACTTGAAAATTGAAGACTGCAGGCCAAAGAGAGATTAGGTCAAGTATAACAACCTGTAATGTCAGAAAATCTGTGAAAGGAACACAGGTTAATTCAACTTCTGAGTTTTCTCAGTTGCTACTTGACCTATTAAATGTAGACATGCCAGCTGGTTAACATGAAACATTAAACAGTTAACTCCTGTACAGTTTCATGTTTTTATTCAGAGCAGGTTACAATGTCAATCCTAGGTTATACCTATATTCACAATTCCTGTTGCTCACCTATCGGATTACTGAGGAGGTTCCTCAATAACAGGAAAACCACAGAAAGAGGATATCCAGTTCAATTCCTCTCATCATCATAGGTTTATTCCATTTTTTACCTGTACAGTGCTGACAACAGAATTTCTCCCACCCACAACACCAATTCTTTGTGCATCACTCAAATACCTCACAAGAATAAATTAAGATATCCCCCAAAAAGGCACAGAATTAGAAACAATTACAGAAGCTGAATTCTCTCTCAATATATTTTACCCTGTGCAATGTTTCTTAAGTGAGGGCAATTGCTCTTGAGTTACACAAGGCCAACCTTTTGTCCAGCCACCAGTCTAAACTGATGCCCAGTTCCACAACAATCCCTGTCCCCAGCAATGGTGCTCAAGTTTCTGGCACTACCTTGCCTAGTTTGTCAAGTAGTTTCATCAACGGAGCATCTCTGACTCTCCCAAACCTCACCACTCCCACAATGACTTTTACACCCTTTAGAGCCCTGCCCATTGCCTTCTGGAAGGACAAAAAAGGCAGGAACCACTGGCTGAGGGAAGGCAAACATGCATTGACTCAGTAGTCAAAAGTTTTATTTTCTCCTAAGCATTACCAGTTTATGACACAAAGGATTTGGATAGAAAACAAGGTGAGGCCTATAAAATTTAAATGTTTATACAGACAATAGCCAATTAAAAGGGTGGAAGCAAGGACAGGTAGCCTGGGAGGAATACAGAGAAATTGTCCGAGCAGACAGGTTAGGAAAGAGGAAAGCTAAAGCCCTGA